TAGTTGAATTCCGTGATTCAGACGAGGAAGGTGCTCAACCGTTACAATGTATACGTGGTAGACCAGGATCACCTGTATTTGTAACACACTCCTCGGCTGCAGTATTACATCATTTTACAACTCCTGAATTCTACGAAGAAGTAAGCAGTCAATTATATTCTATTGATTATGTAAATGATAGTAAATTTGTTATAAACTTACCTTTATACTTAAAATAATCATTATTATTATTATCTGTCACTCTAACGTCATATTAGGAAATGTGAATTCCAAATATGGAATGATTACGTGCGTAAACGTCCTATAATATTAAAAACAAAAATAGCTGCCACCAGAGTTTGGCCGGACTTAACACAAAGAAGTTCGCTGATTCTGTTCTAAACATTTTGAATTTCAGCATTCCCATGGTGTATCCTTGGAAGGAAAAGGAAATGTATAAAAAATAAAGTTATTACGAGAATACCTCAAAGTATGCACTGATACAGTATGCCGCGCATCGACCTCCGCTGCTCTTCGGTCGATACTTTAGCTATACTGTCTTCGTGCATACTTTGAAGTATTCTCGTAATAACCTTATATTATAGCAAGTCTTGGAAGTATTGGGGCAGCAACTTGAATTGTCTGACAGCTGTGACAGTTGGCTTTTCTTTTCAAACTTGCTTTAATACACTCCCAGGCCTGACAAATCTTTACAGCCGTAAGAGACAGGCAGTGCCTTTCACATTGCAGTATTCAAAAAATTATTGAATTTTAATATTTTCTTATATGTACCATACATTGAAGGTTTATCTTGTTAAATTCATACCAGCTGCTTTCATTTGTTTTTGCCTGTATTTCAGACCAAGATAGTTCTGCCGACTCAGTTACACGACAAACACCATTTGCTGTTTTCGTTTTACCACATTAGCTGTGAACAGTCAAAAGGAACCGTAAAACGTAAAGACACTGTGGAGACGTTAGGTAGGTATGACTTTGATGTTTTGAGTGATGCCATCGCTCTCAGTGATGTGGTTGATGTTGATATTAACATGTTGTTGTTCTCAAAGATTTTACTTGACTTGTTGAAAAGAGTTTTTTGAGATATTGGCATGCATTGTTTCAAAGGGGGGTGGCATGAGCTGCATTTTTTAGGCTCGCTGTCATTTTGTAGATGACAGAGTAGAAGTGTTCATATAGGTGATCATCTGTCATTGTTCAATTCTATTCAACAACTTCTTGAAAACTACCACCACAATTATTCTTTTGATGCTGTAAACCGCTTATATTTAATGTTAGACGAATTATGGTGCCGACAGTCATTGAAAAATGCCATAAAATCTGAAATCATAATTTATATTATCGGTAATAGTATTTTTCCTTAATGTGGTACCACATGAGTAAAGCACATAGTGATATTATCATAATCCTAGCGTATATTTGTGCAAACACAAATTAATTTTCTAGCCATCTTGGTTTTGTCTTGCATGTGTACACCCAAACATTGTACCACATCATTTACAACCACAAATTAGCAAAAATATGCAGCTCATGCCACTTTTACTTTCAGTATAGTCTTGTCAGAGGTAATAACAAATGCCTAAAATTGTTATTGATCTAATGTATATTTTTCTAAATATGCATGACCTCCATGAGTGTACTGCAGTGTTTTGCTTTCATCACTTCTTGCTGTCTTGTGAAGAATTTCAGATTTAATTTTCAGTTACCATTTTGTGCATACATAGCATGCTGCTTTACTTGCTACTACATGTACCATGTTTCTTCATAGATTTTTTTTTCCTCCACTTCACTGATATTGAAAACAAGTAGCAAAAATTACACATGACTATTTGTTGGGAAACACACACATTGCAAATAGTCTTGTGAATGACCACACATAAAACACATTGTAAATTTAACATACAGATAACTTGTGTGAGGTGTAAATGACGTGAACATGACCAAAAGTTTGCGAGTAACTCAACCATCATTAAATTAGCTTTGAATTTCATAACGAATTTTGAAACAAAATAAAACCGATTAGCGACCATCAACTTTTTTCCTCTCTTTCTCTCTTTTTTTCCCCTCTTTGTATCTCACTTTTTGCCATCTTCTTTAGGAAACGAAATTGAATCTAAAGGTAGTACATTCAGTGGTATACAGAGTTTCTTTAACTCGGCATGCAATACTAGCATTCCTATGTTACTAACCTCTTCTTTTTCTATGATTTTTTTAACACTTATTCTCAAAATCTTAGATTTTATAGGCTCCTGTAGCTGCCATTTTTTCATTATTTTTATTCTTTGAAATATTTAATTTTGTTTAGGTTTGCTATTAGAACTGATGATCTCACACCATCAACTTGATAAACAAGAGACATACAGGAACTCCTTGCAAAGCAAAACAGAATAAATTAAACTAATTTATCAATTTTATGCATGATTGAAAACCATTTTGACACACATGGTAATCTCTGTGATGCAAGAAAAAATATATATTGTGTAAAAAATTACTTGGATCACAAGTTTATCAATTTATTTAAACTCAAGATCCAAGTTTGCTGTTTAGTCACTGTGTGGCCTTTTATGATAACATTTTCACATACCATTGCTGCACAGAAGCTCTCTGTGATGTGTACACTCATCCTGGATGATATTTATCAATTGACTTCAAATTCAATGCCAGTGCCCGCACACATTTTTGTTTCACCCATGCCATTACATTTTCACATTGATTTCATTTATTTTATTGCAGTGGGATATGCTTGGATTCAAGTTCTCTCAAATAGCAGGTAAGATTGGTCTTCTAATCGTAATTTTGTTTCCTTTCGCCACCACCAACATCTTCTGTAAATTTAGCACCAAATACACAGGTTGTCACAG